TACCTGTCAGATGGGGACAGAATGGATATTTGACTCCCTCTTAGAAATTTCTGAAATTTATTTAGGTGTTGCTTTTACTAAAGTTCAGTAAAGTCTGCCAGCTTAAATGCTTGAAGCTGTTTTGACATCTAAGCAGACATTATTTTGGAGTCCAACAGTGCTTTCTAATTTATTGGCCATGAGTACCTTAGTGATAGAACTGCATACAGTTCATCACAGACCAGCCTAGCAGTGAAACTGTTTGAACAGTAATATCTTGGGATCGAAAACATCTGCCAAGGAAATAAATCACTTGTGGAAAGTCCCACTTTCAGTGTCTGTGTATATTTGGGGAACTCCCTTTGTAGCTGTCTGCAGGAATAGGACTTTGGCAATCATGTCTGTACTTCTGCTCAGTTATGTGAATTTATTTTAAATCTATGTTCTAGTTTAAATCGTTCTACAAGCACTGATGAAAGCTAGAAGCTAATCACAGCCATAGCAGCATTTTCAGTCTTTTTTTATATGGATAACAGGAACAAAGAGTGTGTCCATCTAGTTTGAATAGTAAATGAAAGTAGAGTCTTCATAATGTGTCTGAATTTATTTTAAAAAATAAAAAGCACCCAAAAAACCCAAAAATACCCCAAACCAAAATGAACCCACCACCACCACCGAAAAACCAAAATAAAAAACAAACCCAACCAAACTAAAAAACCTCACACCAACAAAAAAACCCAAAATCACAAAAAAAGAAAGAAAGAAAAAATAAAAGCAGCAAAGTGCTTTAGGAACTTACCTTCTACTTTGTGTTACTTGTACCAAATTTTACAGGTGTGTTCTGACTGGCAGAAACGTGACCCAGTTGACTTGCTGGGTGAATACAGTTGAGGGGGAGGGAGGCACTTTTGATTCAGTAGAAATCCCTTAAACTTAACTCGGAAAGCTACACATAAAAAAATTGCCAACGTAGAAAATTATGCTGAAATAGCTGTACTGATTTTAATTCAGTCCTTATTTCATAGAACTGTTATGTTTGGAAAAGACCTCTAAGATCATCAAGTCCAGTGTCACCCTTGCACCAGCACTGTGTTCACCACTAACCCATGTCCTCGAGTGTCACATCTACATGTAGTTAAACACCTTCAGGGATGATGACTCCACCACTTCCCTGTATATGCCTGATAACCCTTTCTGTGAAGAAATTTTTCTTAATATACAATCTAAACCTCCTCTGCTGCAACTTGAGGCCATTTCCTCTTATCCTGTCACGTGTTACCAGGTAGAAGAGACTGACCCCCACCTGGCTGCAGCCTCCTGTCAGGGAGTTGCAGAGGGTGATAAAGTCCCCCTAAGCCTGCTTTTCTCCAGGCTAAACAGTCCCAGCTTCCTCAGATGCTCCTCATAGGACTTTTGCTCCAGACCCTTCACCAGCCTCATTGTCCTTCTCTGGACATGCTCCAGCATCTCAATATCTTCCTGGTAGTGAGGGACCCTACAATACATTATTATAAAATCTTGCATTATTTTTCAAGGTTAGCTGGTGTAAGAGAACCTGTTAAATGATAAGGTTCTTATACTGAGAGTTTGCAGAAGGTTCTTGTCTTCTAGCTGTGCAGTCTTAATTTGCTTTTTTAGAAACTGTGCATATACTGCAAGTACTTTGTGACTGTACACTGGTTTACAGACGTTTGAGCAACTGAACATTAACCATATCCCAAAGTCAAAGTCATGATATCATCTTCTGGGGCGTGTGCCAAGCTCTTCGGTGACACAATCACGAAAAGTTCCGACTTTGTTTTAACATTGGTAGGCTCTTTCTCTGAGGTATGGCTTATTTATTGCAGACCAGGGCTGGCTGGCCCATTTTGAAGTTCCAAGCCAACAATATGTTCTATAGATGTTCAGAGTTCAGGAACCAGAGAGGTCTGAGTAGCAATTTGGAAACTTTTTTGATCTGAAGTGTTTCTTGATTTTAGATTGAATATATATTGTCAAGACTTCAGCTACCTTTTTAACTACACATAATAAATAAGTAGAAATATTATTAGGACTTCTTCAGCTCTTCTCAAGTAAGCTGAAGGATGGAATGACAGTTGAAGTTTAAAGGAATTCTTTTGGCACTGAAAGAGGATTTTTGGAAGTTCTGGCCTCATTTCTGTCCTTTGTTGCAGATTTATTGGTTTTTGTGTGATAGTGCTGCAGTTCACCCAGCAGAAGTAATTCTGATGCATGATTATTTGTATTTTCACATGATTACCTTACTTAATAGATGAAGGATTCAGGCAGGTAATTTGCACTTGCTCTTTTACAGTCTGCCCTTGGGAAGCATACAGTTGGCAAATATGTCACCTCTCAATACAGTGGATGTTTCCACTGTGACCTACTTGGGACTAAACTAGTTTACTAGAATTAATAAAATAATAAGACTTCTAACAATCTACTCCTGATCCAAGCTTATTAAAGTCAGTGAAGGATTAACAGAATGTGGCCATCCTTAATACCTTACCATACTGTAGACTTTTATGGAAATATGTAATATGTGAACCTTACATTATTTTCAGTGGAACGTGACTACTGAGCTGACCTCTTGCTGTAGAAAGTGGTTTTCATGCTATATGAATTTTTTTGTTGTTGCCTTGTTAATTTTCCTGCCTCGCCTGTTGCTGTGCTCTTCTTGCACTGCTTTTATTTGCAGTCCATTCTTGCAGTTTCCTGTAAATTTGTCAGCAAGAGGAAGCTCTTGCTGCAGAGACAGCTCAGCCCTGCAGCGAGACTGGGGAACTTATACTGGTATTTTAGTGCTCTTGTGTTCCATTAACTAATGACAAGTAGGATTGCTTTCTTCTGCCAGCAAGAGCTGTTCCCAACAATGGCAGAGAGGATTGGCTGACTTCCTCGGACAGTGGCCCTGCTGGAATGCAATCCAAATGTTGGTTCCAGATGGTTTTGTTCTTCCTTTTAAGGCTATCTGAGTAATGGCTGTCTTATAATGTTAAAGAAATGAAGTAACTCCTGTGGAGTGGAATTCTCCCTAGGCTAGCTTGGTGCAAGGCTGCTCCTCACTGCTAATTTTTGTGGGGACAAATGAAGGGTGGTGGGCTGAAAACCATACACCAAAGGTCCATGCATGACAAAATTTTATGCTTTGTGAAGAAGGACATACTTAATACTCTTTCACTTCACTGACAGATGTGTCAATCAAATCCATAAAGCTTTCATGTCTCTTCGGGCTCCTTATTTGCGATTTGGAAACACAATCCTTCTGATGAATGTTTGGTCTAGAAATTAAGCTGAATTTTCACTCCCAAAACTGTAAAACATCTAAATTTGTGCTGTCCCTTGGTGGAACATCAGCCTGTGTGTGTGAAAGGGTTTCTGTTTTGACTCTGGCACCATCCTGATAGTGTTGGAAATCACCGGAAAAGTGGAAATGGGATCTTGGAACTTGAAATGAAAAGTCCTGCTGCATTTGAATGCTGAAGTGAGGAAAGGGAGCGGACAGCATCAGAAAGGTTATAGTGGAAAAGCAACATGTCAGGAATGTGTGTTGGATAAAGGAGACTTAATTTATTGAGGCCAAAGAGCATGATACTGTAAGTTGTAGAGTTTGGAGGGGAAATCCAAGACTTAGGCATGTCACACCAGAAAAGGGAAAGAGGAACTGAAGTTTTTTTCCAGTGTTACATACACACAGATGCTGTAATTTTGATCGTAGTTTTGTTACTGAGGTGGAGATAAAGCTTGCAAAGATGCTAATGCAAGCCTAGAAGAGTATGTTTTGATAGAGAACTTAGAGAGGAAAAATTACTTTAAAGCAGTGTGTGTTAATAATTAAAGTCTAAATGGGTAATTGATATTGCAGCAAATAAGGCAAGTGAATTCAATTCACAAGCTGATGAGCTGGAGTGCTCTATTATGTATCTCCTCTGTGAAAAATCTGTTAGTTAAGCCACTGAGACAACTGGGTATTGATCCTTATTGAAGAGCATTGGGATTTTGTGTAGATGTGCTGATCCTTTGGCTGGCAACAGATGTGTGATATTTATGGTTTGCTTCCCCTTCCTATAGAGCCTGGCTGTGGAAGGAGTGCAGATGGGTGTCCTGTGGTGAGAGAACTGCTTTTCTAGCTGATACAGCCATGACCAGTACCTGGAATGTTACCATCTTTTGTGCTTTGACTGTTGGGTAGTTTACAGAAAGAGACAGTGCTGTATAGAGACTTCTTCTTTCACCTATTTTAGGGTACAGATTCACATCCATTTCCCCAAAAATAGATGAAGTAAACTTTGCTTAACGTACTTAGATGTTTTGTCCATCATTCAGAAACTTGCTAGTTGGTTTTGTCTCATTTGAACTTTCCAGCCTGTGATGATGTCTGATTCCAGACAAATCAGTGAAACACTTGAATCCTTTTTAAAACTCCATATGAAAGTAAATGTAAAACAATGGCATTTATTTCTCATCAGTTGGTGATATTCATCCTGTAGAATTGTGCGTTGTGAGCCTCTTGAATTCGAATTTTATTATCTTTGGTGGTTTGGGTAGCATCAAATGTGCAGGCAAGACTTGCTCTAAAGCACATCTATGCTTCAGAGTCTTTAAAAATGGCTATTTTAATTTTTCTTGAGTCGAAGAGGGAAGAAACATCATAGTTCTGTGGTGCAGTGCAGGTACCTGAGGCACAAGCTCTTCAGAAGCACAGGCAGCGTTTCTGACCTGTGCCTGTGCCATTGGGAGAGCCTGAGAACACTGTAAGGAAAGAGGACGACTTTCTTTTTCTCCCATAGGAAAGGTTGAAAGGTGAGTAGGAAGAAAGTGAGCGCTGGGAAACCCCCTCTGCTTTCTAGCTCGATGTCTGGCAGAGGCTTGAGGTCTGCAGGAATTGATTTACAACCTCTCTGGGAAGCCGGGAAATCTGACAAAGATAGTGCTGCCCACTGACAGGGGGGGAAACAGGAAGTAGCAAAGGAAACAAGTCATTGCCTCGGCGTCACTTTTGGCCGCAGCTCAGTGCAGATGCACAAGCGGCTGGGGCAGAGTTTCTTTCCCTTCTGTGCGGACTGTCCAGCAGCTTCGCCGGCGCGTTCAACCTGGCAGTACCCGAGGCAGGGAGAAGCGCAGGGATGTTCCTGTCATGCCTGAGAGGGGTCACAAGTTCTTAATGGCTTTGTCATCTCAAAGGAAACAATCATTCGGGTACACTGCCAGCAGGAAAACTATGTGTCGATCGGGCAAGGTCACCAGGTTAGTGCTCTGTGGGGGCTTGTATTTCTGTCATCTTTTCTCTTTAAGGTAGAGAGCAGGCTGCAACTAAGAGTAGAATGTGGTCTCTGGGGTAAAATACCTTTAACTCATGCAGAAAATTAAAGGATAAATAATTGGAGGGGGAAGAGATGAGGTGGGTGTTGGTTGAAAACTTTCGCCAGAAAACAAAAGCGAGTTGAAGCAAGTTAAACAGAGTAAACTTAGGTACAACAGTGTATCTCGGTCAGGCTTAGTTCTCTGTTCCCTTTGTCTTGTAAGATTTATTTGACTTCACAGTGTTTGTCCAGTGCCATTAATCTTTCTGAGAAACTATTGTGAAAGGGGCTGTTAAGTATTAAGAAATGGAATGTGTAGCCAGAAAAGTAGGAGAGATATGGAAGAGTATTTCAGAAGTCCTGGGGAATAAGTGGACAAGAGACCTGAAAATTCTGCAGAAAGCATCTTTGAGAACAGCTGGTAAATGTTTAGATGGTTGAATCAGAAAACTTGTTTTTGCTCAGAATGGATGAGAGCACTTAGGGGAAGCTTTCATTTTACAGCTTTGCAGTATGCAGTGCTGCCTCTTTTTTTGGTAAAGCCTTTAGTAGAGACTTCAGTCTCCCTCTGCAAGATATGAGGAATACATTCATTTCTCTATGTGTTATATATGTCATGTTGTAAGTTATATATTCAGAAGGAAACTAGCATTGGGCTTTGTTAGGTTTTACTTTCAAAATAGAGTTTATAGACTAGAAATTATGAGATATTACAGAGTTTTAAAAGTTCTCAGACACAATTGGCAGAGAGGTAGTTGTTAAAACTTCAGGTTTAATTTTTGTACTGCAGCTTTGGAGGCTGTTTTTTATTTTTTTCAGCATGACCAAACTGGGTTCCAGGACCGACCATGAATATTATTATAACAAGTGAAAACTTTTAATACAACTTTTGGCAGCTGTAGTTTCAGAGATGAGGATAATGTTTTTTTAAGCCTGTATACTGCAAGATGTGAGATGATCATATCTGCCATATGTTCTGCTGAAGTTAAGCAAGAACTGAGGACTTGTGGCTTTTCCAGGATGCAATCCTTAATTGAATCAACTTGTACTGGCTTTAATTGGGCTAAATGCCAGTAGCTCTTAAGGCCAAGAGGGGTAAGTGCTCTTCTATAATATAATCCAGATTTTAATGTGGCAGAACTTTACTTTTACTCTTGGAAGGACTTTTAGGCTGTAAAATTATGCCCTAGCCTCCAATCTAGCTACTCTAACTGAGAGGATAGGTTAAAATTGCCTCACAGATGTGAATGCATCTGCTTCCTTGGTGAGTGGGAAGAAGAAGAAGATGTGTAGCTGTTACTAGAAGCTTTCACCAAATACTGCATGGGTGATGTTGCCTTCTGTTTGCAGCAGAGGACCAGTGTCAGAGAGAGCTTTGTCTTGGCTCTGGTTGCACATTGGGAGCCCTTCCTGGTGACTTCCTTGTCAGCTTCATGGAAGAGACTCTGCCTAAGCACCAGGAGTGAAAATGTGTACTGGGGTCTCTTGGCTTGTAGTGCAAGAATATAATTGCATCAGAAACTGCTTGGAAATATCTTTCTGTTCTCAATGATGCCAAGGTTAACAGGCTCTGAAGGGACTTCAGTGCTTGTTGTTGTGCATACCTGGTAATGCAACATCAAACTGTTCTTCAGGTAATGCATTTTGAAAAACTATAAGAAGAATATCAAGAATGGAAGGAACCAATTCAGTGAGCTAAAGACAACCATACTGTAGGTGCTAAGACCAGAAAAATCTTTAAGAGCTTCCATTTTTCCTTCTTGTCTCTCACCCCTGCAATAAAGATCCTGAAGTTACATAATTTTGACAGCTATGTTGCAAAATAGCATCATCTGTCCTTACAGAGTTGTTTTCTGCAGTCAAGAAAAGAAGAAAAATCTGCCTGGGACTAGATTCCAAGTACTTAAATGGATTTTAGAAGCCTAACTCAAAGATTTCAACTCAGAATACCAAAGTCCTCCCTAAGTGTCTGCTATGTGCCAGCAAATGAAAGTGCTTGAGGAGCTACAGATATGATGGGGAGTGCTCTAAGCCACATTGAAATCCAGATAATAGGCTTAGCAGCCTCTAAATCTCTTGAAAAGCCTGGTACCTTAGGTGGGCTCTTTAGCTCAAGTAATATGTGCTTGGCTGCCTGGGGTTCAACCATGTCTCCTTTTATTCAATTAGCTGGGCTGGGGAAGTTCTAAGTTTTGCTCACTATTCTTGGTAAGGATCAGTCTCCTTACAGAGAATAGAGAGCAAAAGAAGAGAAATGAACGTGAATAGAGGAAGCAGAACCTGATACTCGGCTGTCCTTTCCCCTCGGTTAAATCCTGTAATCATCACACTGTAGAAAAGGATTTCTTTTTTCCCCCCTCTGCTTGCTCCTCTGCTTCTTTTTAAAATTCTTTTTCCTGAAATTTTGGCTTTTCAGATGGGGAAGAAAATGTCCATCCAGGCATGCTTTAGTGAGTGGTCTGACTAGCATGCTCCTATACAGAAGGACAACATGACCTAGACAAATATTTCTGTTTTCTGTATTTACCTAGGGTGTCATACACTTGTTCCCAGTGTTTGCCTTTGGCTTCCTAGAAATTTCAGCTTACTGATTGTTTTGGGTAACCTCTCTGAATTATTAACTCTGCTTCTTCTGATAGCTTTTCAACCTAAGTGCCCAACACTAAAACAGTTTTACACCATACTCTACATGCTTAAGTCCTTTCTTGTACTGTTCTTTGTAGTAAAGGCACACAGGATTTCAAGACCCACGATGAACTGGAAACTGTTGGATGGCATTGAGGCTAAAGTTAGGGTTAGTTCAAGAAAAGTGGCATCAGAGTGTATTTAACTGAATGAAGAGAGTCCAATTTTATTTAATCTTTTCTCTGAACAGAACTAGAAACAGACTGAAATAACTTAATCACAAATTAATTTCTAATGTTTGAACATTGAATTTAGCCCAGGACTTACCTTTGCATTCCTTATTTCAAGGAAACTACTCTTAGCAGTGCTGCAGTGTCTGCAGCCAGCCAGGTAATACTCTCCATTTCCCTCAGGCTTTTCTGCAAGATGTGGAGGAACAAATTGAAGGATTTAGGAAGGGGAGGGGTGTGTTAACCTCTGCTACTATTCTTTTTTTTACTATTATTCTTAAAAGCTTTAAGTACATGAGTAGCCCCTTCTTGGACCTGTTAATGCAGTGTTGGTGCTGGACATTTCACTGTGGGGGAGGAAGAGGAAGGAACAACTCAACTTGGAAAGATCTCAGTCATTTAATAAGAGTACAGAGGAAGCAACAGAAGGAAGGATACAGCTGAACACAACAAAAGTAACTTAGCTTTTGGTGAGGAGAGGAGTCATGGGGAAAACTGGAAAACCATGGTGCCTGGATGTGTCTGCCCTGAGAGCCTTTCTGGGGCCTTGGATCCTACCTCCTCTGGTTGTGCCTGCCTCATAACACTGGGGACCAAAACCTAATTTTTGTGATTAAGTTTTTTAGGTTGCCTAAAGAATTTAATTTAGTTTAAACTCTCCTGGTGGAAATTGCTAGGAATTTCCACCCTTTCCCACACACACATCATCAGCAGGGGCAAGCAGTTAGATCTGAATCCTGAGCTGATCCTCTGAAAGATCCACTAACCTGCATTTCTCTTTTTCCTAACACATAGTCAGTGGATATTACTCTGCTGTTGCACTTAATCCCTCAACAAAAATGCAACACTTCCTTGTTCTTTTCAGTTTAGGAACTTCCAGTTGCCATCTTAGGCTGGAGGGGAAAGTGCTTGGGCAGGGAGTTGTGCTGAGGCTCTTGGATTCTGTGCTGAGCCTCACTGTTGACCTCTCTTACTGTCCCTTTTGGGTAAAGGAGAAGCAAACAAGATCCATTAGATCTCAGTCCTCCACTAAAAGCTTATCAGTTCTAAACCATCATTCCTTAATCAGAAATTAATTAACTGGAACTTAATCAGTTTGCCTTTTACCAGCAAAGCTCTCTAGCCCTACACCTGAGGATAACAGACCCTTTTATGTCTGGGTCAAAATTCCCATTCAGTCCATGCATGATTTCTTTTCCCTATTACACAGTAGGATTTTTAGCCTAGTTCTGTCACCATTTGAAGAAAGAGAGGGCTCAGAGTTATATATCAGAAAAAGCTACTGCCTAAGAAACTAATCTTTTTGATTTAAGATGACAGCAGAAAGAGTGGTAACTGCAAAGGAGCTTGGTGGAGCATGGCATTAATAATTGGTATATAAATTACATGGAAGCCTGCAGCAGTCTGAGATGAACTTCATTTGCACAGGGTACTGTGGCATATAATATCTGGTGTGAGATTATGTGCTAATCCTTTCATTCAGAATAAAACATGTAAATATCAGGAGTAGGTAGTATTAGATACTTCAGTTATTAAACTTGGACTTGATTCCCTCACTGTACAGAAAATGACATTGTATTTACATGTGTGGTGTGACATTGGGAGAAGAAACCAATTTTCTTTCTAGTCACCTGCCTGATCAAGTCTGGCAGTGTTATCTGGAGCATTTTTAACACAGAAACACTTAAATAACACTTACTAAGCACTCTTCCACTGTTTCAACTACTGTCAATCACTCTGGAGAGCTGGACAAAAATAAATCGGGACTTTTTGCACCACAGTTTTTTATACATTGCGAAGTTCCTGGAATCTCTGAGCACCCGTCTGTGCTACATTCTTGAGTGCTGAACCACGTTTGTTGTTTGGAAAGCTTGTTTGAGGAAACGAGCTTTGTTTCTCAGTACTCACTCTTTGGAGTAAAATCTGTGTTCTAAGCTGTCTTTAACCATTCGGAATTGCAGGATGATGGCCTCGCAGGAGCACGTCTGGCCTGTCCCAATGAAGGCAATCGGAGCACAAAACCTTCTGACAATGCCTGGAGGAGTGACCAAGTCGGGGTATCTTCATAAAAAAGGAGGCACCCAGCTGCAGATCTTGAAGTGTAAGTCGAATTATTAACTAAATTAAGTGTTAAAAATGCTTGCCTCTGGGGCCACTAACACATATCATGATAGCAGACTACTGAAGCTGTTCTTGCACTTACTTTGTGCTGGAATATATGTATGAAAGACCCCTACTGAAAGATTTTTGCTTTCATTGTTTTGGAACTGTAAATCTTAAATAACAAATGTTGTGGTTTATTTTATTTTGCTTGTTTAAATTTCTTGTCAAGTCCTTCACAAGTGAGATTTTTCAAGAGAAATAGATTCCTAGGATATGTATCAATTTCAAATACTCTTTTCTAAAAGAAATTAGTACTCAGCTTTTTTTTTTTTTTCCAGTTGGTTAATCTGTACTGGAAAAATATCCCAACTCCTGTTGCTGTTGTGAAATGGAAATTTTCTCACTGCCAGCATTGGGCTGTACTTAAAACCAGTAATTTCTTCTGAAATCAGAGTCTGTTTACATGGAGAAAACTTCAGGTTTTGGCTTTATTTGTATGCTATTCATATGCTATTCCTGTTTATGTTGAAACTACACATATATAGTTAAGGACAAAGATTACTGCCTTTGATATAGGAAGGAGTCTTGGCCCCTTTCAAAGAAAGAAAATAGAACATCATTTTATTGGCAGCATTATGTGCTTAAGGTGAAAGAAGAGATACCATTATGGTTTTGGGATGGATGTAAATAAGTATTTGTAGCTATAGCTACCTTCCTCCTGTTGTTTATTCTGCTAGTAAAGGAGCACGGGTGGAGGTCAGACCTGCAGTCTCTGAGGCTTCTTTTGAAATTTTCAGATCAGCTCCCTCTCAAATGAGGGAATCAAGTGCTCCTGAAACTCTGTGAATGGACAGCTTTACCATGTGACTGATCATCAGCAAGCTGTCACTTAACTAGTTAGTGCTCATTTATAATGATTAATAACATCGCTGAAATCCTAAACGATAATTTTAGCCAAGTTATAGTTATTGTACTGCCTTTGGAATCTTATTTTGCTCACTTTTTATCTTTTCAGGGCCACTGAGATTTGTGATTATCCACGAGGGATGTATCTACTATTTTAAAAGCAGCACATCTGCATCTCCCCAGGGTGCCTTTTCTTTGAAAGGTTACAACAGGTGAGTGCCAAAAACTTGTTTAACACCCAAACTCCTTGTACTTAATGCAAGAGACTCCGGGCTTCATTTCCAACTAAGTTAAACACAACTACATCTGTTCTTTGGGTTGAGCATTGATCTTGGACTCCAGGAGAAGTATTCCTTTCAAATTGTGTGTATGACATTTCCAGTGCCTGGCAAGTGGACAGCCTTCACGTTCTGTAATTTAACCAGTAAAGCTGTTTGAATTGCAATGGGCTTACTCTTGTCATTGACTTCATGCTTGTGCAGATAGTGGATTCTTTCAGACAAGTGATCTTTGTTCTGTAGGGATTTCAATGATCATCACAAAACCAGAAAGGAAAATTTACAGAGTTACTGATTCAGCAACTCTAGTATCAAAAGTGTTGGAGCTACAGAGTGATAAATAAGAGAATGCATGTGCAAGATGTCTGGCTCGTTTTGCTACATGTTTTAAATCTTACTATTTGCTTTGTGAGTTGAAGACACATGGCTTTCAAGTTAGCCAGTCCTGTCAGAGTCTGAGTGCAGCAGATCTACAAGGCCTACTAATACAAGTCCAATCCAACATTAGGAAATTGCTAAGAAAGTTTTAACGAGAGAGGGAGTGTAGAGAAATATCATTGTGATTTTATTGCATTTGTATATGTTATTATTGTACTGTATCATGTTCTCAGACTTTTGGAATAAGGAATTATCTTTTCTTAGATTATGAGAGCTTTTCTAACTGAGCACAACAAAGGCATATTTTAGGGGAATGCAGTTGTAAAGATTGTAGCTAATTAAAAATTCAAGATTAATTTGCAGAAGAAACCCATGGTATAATGTGGTCACGACAGTAGCTTCTGTAACCCACATTAATGTGAGAAACACCATGGGATTTGTAAATGCTAGAGACTGTGTTTATTGCCTTTTATGTCTCTGCATTCTAGCAACCTTGGCTGGAATAGGGACCAGGCCTCAGTATTATGCACAGAGAGAAACATTACTGGAAAAGAATTTGAAATGAAAGAATTGTTAGACTGGGTAGCTGCATAAAGAGTTTTTATTTTTTTTTTCCCCCAGAGGAATCTCAAATGAGGAAATTCTTTATACATACACAAAAAGAAAGAGGTTGAGTTATGCTTGTTTTAAAATATTAAAAAAAGTGCAAGAAAGTGTTTATAAGGGAAAAGTGGCAAAATTAAGTTAACTTTTAATATTAGTTTTCCTAATTTTCCTTTTATTTCATGGGAAGCATATGTTTTGATTTCTCCTCTGAAATAGTGCCTTTCTGAAAGAAGGACCACAAGCACCCTAAATACTCCTTACTGTGTGTGACACTTGTGAATGAATGCAGCTCATTAAAACTCTTGAACATGTCAAAGCGTCTGTTCAGTAATCCTGGCTGGTGGTTGGATGAGTGCTCTTCCTCCTGTCAGAGCTCTTGCACTGTCCTTTCTACCACTTAAATGGAGAAGTACCACCAATGCACATATGGGGATTTCTGTGGTGTTTTCCTGGGCTTGGGGGGGTTATTTTTCATCAGGCAAAACTGGCCAGTAAAACTGCTCTCTGTCAGAGCTTTCTGACTTGCTCAGTAGCAATAACTTTATAGATTAAGGCGTTTCTGTGTCGGTTGTTGTGTTTCTCAGGGTTATGCGGGCAGCTGAGGAGACAACATCAAGTAATGTGTTTCCTTTCAAGTTAGTTCACATAAGCAAGAAGCACAGGACGTGGTTTTTTTCAGCTTCTTCTGAAGATGAAAGAAAGGTAACTTTCTTCTTCTTTTGCAGTATAATTTTCCTTGAAGCGGAAAGCGAACCTTGGACTTCCCTAAAATCTAAAGGAACTGGAAATGCAGCTGTCACTGAAATTTGTATACCTAGTTCTTTGTGCTCCCCTGAAAGTCATGTCTGAAGTTTTAACTGCTAAGTTGGTGTTAGTTCAACTTGTAATTTGGGGAATGGCTGTAAGTGTCATACTAGATGGAATATGTTTCTCCATATTCCATAAATATTCCGTATTTATTCTTAGCCAAGGAATAAATATTTATATGTTAAACTTTTGATAAAGTATGAAAACTGTTCAGTGAAATCTCTTGCCCATAAACATACTATGAATAGGTATCTGACTTTGGAAATAACAGCTTGAAACTTGAAAACTGAAAATTTATTATTTCAGTATGTTCTTACAGCGTTTTAGGCAGTCAAAACATTTGACTGATGAGTCCTTTCAGTATAAAGTCATGGATAAATACTATTTCAGTGTATATTCCCTGCACAGTTACTCTGTGGTTACAGAGGACAGATACATCTGTATTTAGTGATTTAAAGATGGAGGTGTTGAATGTTGTATTTTTATTTTTATTTAGAATTGGATGCTGTCCTTGAGGAGAGAAATTGATCACTACCATGAGAAGAAAGAAACAATAACAGAATTCAGGTATAAACCCTTAAACTTTATTAGGTTTTTATCCCTTTCACACTAGCTCTTGACAGTGGTGGTTTAGGCTTTTTGCACCTGCAAGTAACTTGCTGTTAAATAAGAACAGGTGCAGTAAGACCCAAGAAGGAAGGCCCTTCCTAATTCATACCTTAAAGAACACCAAGACAAAAATAAACCTTTTTACTAAGACAACTTTAAATGTCAGCTTTGTGTAAAACAATCTTTTTGAAAGACAGCAGCAACATATAAGACTGCTAATTGGGAACTAGGAACAGATGGCTTCTGCTTTTCCAACATTCCTCTCCAGTGCTGGAGCCTTGCTAAACAGAAGGGACTCTGTCTTTTGTTTTGCAGTGACTCTGGTTCTGATGCAGACAGTTTCTATGGCTCAGTAGAACGTCCCATCGATATCAAGTATTCTCATCATTCAGCAGATAATGAAGGTGACAAATCAGACACTGATAAATAAGACTTCTTTATTTGTTTAATTATTTCTTCTGGATTCTGCAGGACTTATTCCCATTCCAAGCAAACTGTTCCATATTGCAACTGTTTGTTTGTTTGTTTGTTTGTTTTAACAAGGTGTATAGCTATTGTAGTTTTAAACCAGAAGCAGATATTCTGTTAGTAAAGATAAACTCAAGAAATTCAGATCTTTCAAGGAGGTTAGTTGGAAGTGAGGATGTGACAGGAAGCCTACCAGGTAGGCATTCACAACATACTTCAGCAACTGACTTCCTAGTCAAGAAATATATTAGTAAAATCCAATATAAGAAACTTCGCCTCAGGGTTCAACAGAAATCCTTTGCTAGGCCTTTTCTCATCTTCCCCTTCAGATTTCTAAGGGCAGGGTTGATGGGAGCGAGTACTCTCATTTCCTGAAAGGAAATTCCTGACTATTTTTCCTGACTGGGACAAAAAGACAGGACTGAGTCTTGTTAGGAAATCCGGTTCAATTGCTGCAAAGCAGAGGAAAACCAACTCAGCAGCATTCCATGTAGGACTGTAGTTTAGTCCTTCTGTGTTTATAAAAGGGAAGTGTTGTGTGCAAGATGAGTTATGGTAAGAGGAGTTTAAATTAGGAAAATTATCAGATAAAAATCAGTTCTTCTATTATTACCTTTTTTCTTTTTTTAGTGCATTCCTCTCATATTGTTCTTGAGACTCCTCTTGTAATCAGTGAGAAAGTACTGCCTAGAAATAGTATGTTTTTCTTGTCTTGATTATTCTGATTTGCAGTTAAAGGCAACATTGAAACCACTTTAAGCCATTTGTTGTGGTGCAGGTTTTTTCGTTGCCAGAGCAAGGCACAGTGTTAATTGTTTGTGGATCACTAGGCTTGCTTAGGCTTCCATATTGCACAATCATAAATGTTTCTGTGTTCGGGTTAAGTTTTGGGGATTATATTTTTTCCAAGTGGTTTTGCCAGTGCATCCATGTAGCTGTGTCTCTGCAACTGATTTGGATGTTTCTCAGGAAGGCTATGGCACCAGAAATTTTAACTTGAAAGTTGGAAACAAATTTCATGTTTAGTGTACTTCTCCCTGTATTTTAAGTGATGGCTTACTTCACTGACATTAAAAATTAAGGAAACACCTATTCTGGATAGCAGAGAGGTGGGCCAAAATTATTAATTAATTTTTTTACCTCTCTAAAAAAAAAAATTCTGAAAAATGTTTGTTTATTAAAGAGCCCTAAGTAGTTGATACTCTTTCTTGGTTCCAGGAAAACTTATCAGAGTCTGACACACTTTTTATCTGCAGATTACGACCAGGAGGAAGAGGATGAGTCGTACTTGCAGCCGGATACTTGTGACATAGTGAAGGATGGTATGTGATTTCTTGGATTCCCTTTATGAAAGGCCCCCAGTGAAGGCAATATTCACATGGAATGCCAGGGTTATTACTTTGCTTTGGTCATAACTAAAACATTACAAGTGGTAAAGTAACTGAAGTTATGCACACCTATCTAATCTTGAGAGGTATTTAGGGTCAGAAGTTTATAGTAACAGCAGTACCCATTTACAGAAAGCATAACATGCTTTCAGGCCTCCTGCCCTGGATGACCTGCATCTGGCCATCAGTCTGGAGTAGAACTAATGCTTTCAACATAGTCTGTTTATAATCTATTTTTAGCACAGCAAAAAGCCTTTGCTAAGTCATCACAAGCCATGCCTGAATAAGAATAGCAGGAGTTTACTACCTATAACATGCAGAACTATGCTGAAAGTTAAATGCTTATCCAGCATTTTGGGTACTGTGTAGACCAGATGCCAGTGAAATACCTTAAATCACATTAAAAATTAATGTGAAAAGGCTTGCTTGTTGACGTACTGTATTTCCCCTCAGTGTGTCATGCTTTTTGGATGTCTTCTTTTTGCAGATATGGTCCTGCCCCCAGCATACCCACCTCCACCTGTTCCTCACGTCAGAAAAGCTGCCTACACAGAAGCAAGGGCAAATTCCTATGCTGGCAAACCTACTGCTCCAGCACCCCCACCACCTCCCAAGAGGAGCTTACCTGATATCAAACTGGAGGATCTCGTAACCACGAGAGAGCCCCAGCTGCAGTGCCGAGCTGAGCCCAATCTGAAGGTTCAGTCCTCCAGCCGGAGACTGAGTGAGCAGCTGCCCCCTGTGCCCCCTTTGCCTGTTTTCAAGAAGCCTGCATGTGTCAAAGAATCTCACCCACTGCCTCCAGACCCTCTGCCTCCAGCCCAAGTTCTTGCTCTTCCAGAAGGATGTGAGAAGCTAAAAAGCTTAAACCTTTCACCGCGAACTCCTCCTCCACTACCAGCCAATAAACCCAAGCTGTCGCAGCTCACTGAAAAACCAGTGGAGCCCAAAGTGCCAAGAGAACACGGTAAACCTGGACTGTTTGTGCCACCGGTGCTCCCAAAGCCACCTGTGCCAAGCCACCAGCCCCCAGGAATCAAGCCTAGAGCAGAGAAGTCTTCATGTCCCCAGTTACAGTAAGTATGAAAACACAATGCACTATTTTGTTTTTCTGTTGTGTATTAGTTAACTAGTTTATAGATGTACTTCTCAGATTCATATTGACATCTGTTTGTCTTCTCTGCACCATCCTTCTCTCCCTCAGTGTTGTGCTTTTATTGCCTGTGTTTTATTTGAGAAGTCTGTAATGAATTTAGTTTCAGAAACAGTTCAGAAAGAAACAGTAGATAAACCAAACTTAAAAAAAATTACACCAGAATTTTATAGTTCATTTTTAGGTGTGTCTCAAAGCCTTAATAGCCTTTGATTGCAGTGAATAAGAAGCCTTTATGTCAGGACCTCAGTGAACTACAAAAACAATTTTAGGCTTCTGTGGAGATAGGAAATGTGTTCCATTTTATATTAAGATCAGCTTTAGTAAGGGATGTGGAACTAGTTACAGTGGTGAAGCAGATGAAAATGTTTTTGGTCCATTGGCTCATTCAGCAGCTCTGAAGAACAAGTAATACACTCTTTAAAGCCAAAGTACAAGGAAGGCACTGATAGACTGGAGTGAGTCCAGTGTCAGGCCACCAAGATATTTGAGCTGTAGCACAGGATAAGTGAGGAGAGGCTGAGAGACCTGGATTCATTAAACGTTTAGGAAGACCAACAGGAGATCACTGGTACCTGCTACTACTTAATGGGTGGGTATGGCAAGACAGAGCGAGACCTCAGAGTCTGCAGTGTTTTGGGATTAGAGGCAACAAGCAGAAGTCACAGACGTGGGAAATTACAGTCAGGTATTAGGAAAATCTTTTTACCATGCAGATGGTGAAACACCAGAAACAGGTTGCAGTGGAATCTCCGTCCTTGGAGATACTCAAAACTTGACTGGACGTGGCTTCCTGAGCTAACTGATCTGGTTGGACCTCTTTTGTGCAGGAGCTTGGACTAAATGACCTCTAGAGGTCTCTTCCTACCTAAATTAATCTATGATTACGCAAATTATTTTACCTTCCAGCTCTGGGGCCCCCATCTCAAGAAAGGCCTGTTGAAACTGGTCCAGAGGAGGGCACTAAGTCGATCCGAGGGCTGGAAGACAGGCTGGGGGAGTTGGAGTTGTTCAGCCTGGAGAAGAAAAGGCTCCAGGGAGACCTTGCAGCACCTCCCAGTACCTAAAGGGGCTACAGGAGAGCTGGAGAGGGATTTTTCACAAGGGCATGTGAGTGATAGGACCAGGGGGTAGGGCTTTACACTGAAAGAGGGGAGGCGTGGGTTTTGATTGGATACTAGGAATAAATTTTTTACTGTGAGGGTGGTGAGCTGCTGGAACAGGTTGGCCAGAGAAGTTTTGGACCATGGAAGTGTTCAAAGGCCAGGTTGGATGGGGCTTTAGGCAACCTGGTTGAGTGGAAGGGGAGCTGGAATGAGATGATCCTTTAAGGTCCCCTTCCAACCCAAACCATTCTATGATTTGGGGGCTAAACTGAAACTTGTGGTCTAGTTTTACTATCCCTTCAGTGTTTTGTGTAAATTTGTTCTGTTTTCCTGATGACACATCCTTCAGTTTTCATTCTGTTTCTTCCAGGAGGTCACCACCAGATGGACAGAGTTTTAGAAGCTTTTCATTTGAAAAACCAGCACTACCCTCCAAGCCAAGCCAACCTGATGATGATGACTCTGATGATGAGTATGAAAAAGTAAGATTAAGCAGATGATCCATTCTCTGAGAATATTTTTTTCCTTGTTCATGTATACTTTTGGAAATTGTTTTAAATATATTATTCCAAGAAAAGAATAGCTTTCTGAAAGCACAGTGCTGTGTAATATTTTTTATTTTATTTCTTTTTGAGCCTCTTTGAGAATGCCTTGGTAAGTTCTGGATTTTAATACTGCATATAAAGGAGAAAAAAGCATAAAGTATAAATTAAATCACCATTAATGATTTCAGATAGTGATGGCTGTAACTTGCTTGCATAACAAGTTGCTCATGTTTCAAGTTGTCATTGACTTACACTGTGATTTATTTTCTTCCTGTTTTTTATAGGTTGGGCTGCCTGCTTCAATATTTCTTAATACCTCTGAATCCTTCGAAGTGGAAAGGTAAAATGTGACTTTTAAAATAGTTACTTAGAAGTCCTACAAAAACCTGTACTGAGCAGTAGTCCAAAGATAATTTTGACAGGTATTTAATATGGAAATCAATTCTCAGGGAAGTTTGTTCAGTGCTTGTGTATCAATTGATAGATAGGAATGGAAAGTGATTTTGCTCCATCTGGGGAAGGTTGTTCTGCCAGGAGCGTAGAAGGGACCAGAAAATCAGATCTCCTGTGCTGCACTGTTGGTTTGAGTGTTACAACAGTGATGTTCTTTTGGGGATGATCTACTAGGAATTATTACAACTGGTATAGAGATTTGTAAAAAAGAATTTTAAGACTGTAGGCACTTGACTTATCTGAGCCAGAAAATGCTAATATATGTAATTGCTTATTCTTTTTAGGATATTTAAAGCTAGTAGCCCTCAAGGACGACCGCAAAATGGATTGTACTGTATTAGGAACTCCTCTACTAAGCCTGGAAAGGTAAGTTGCAATTGCTGAATCTAACCCCCAAAAAACTTCTTCATTGAGACATGCTATATCTTATGTATGATAAAGCACTTAACAATTTAGATGGGCTCTTTTCGTAAAGTAAGAAAATCTGAGACGATTGCTATCATGTCAGTGATTTTTTTTTATTTTTTAGGCTGAATTTTAATTAATTGCTCAATAATATGTTGACTTAGAAGAGCTTGGTAGCATAGACTGAATATGTTGCATTTTTCTTCTTCAAGGTACTGGTTGTATGGGATGAACTTGCAGGAAAAGTGAGAAACTACAGAATCTTTGAAAAGGTTAGTTGCTGCACTCTGTGTGCGTGTGTATATTATATATATGTGTGTGTGTGTGTGTGTATAAAATGTGGGTGCATATAGGTATATATTGGAATTAAAGTCTAAACTTGATCCCGTTCCTGAAAGTGAAAATCAGCTGATTTACAAATATCTTGCCTAGGATGAGAGTCTGAGTACTCAGATCTGGGCTTTCTAGTTGCTTTATCAAGCAAAAGAGAAACTGTAAATGTTCACATCTAAATTTCAGCTCCAGTCAAATCCTAAAGGATGGAATATTAAATGCCTGAGTTTAATATGGACTTATTTGTGTGACTGACTGGTTTGCAAAGCAGTTATATGTTTGAAAGAACTTCTTAGTTCTGACGATTGTGTTTCAGCTTTTTCTCTCTAAACACTGAGTTGGAAGCATTACTGTCAATGATTACACTATGGTTTCTGTTCTACAACAGGATGACAAGTTTTACCTGGATTCAGACATCATGTTTTTGAACATGGGAAGTGTGGTTGAATACTACAGCACTCATGTCTTACCTAGTCATGACAGCCTGATGCTTCGGTGTCCCTATGGCTACTCCAAACCAAGGTGACACGACAGCCCTAGCTCACTGACACCCCCTGCCCCTGAGTTAACTGTGGACTCCTGCCACTGCTGGACATCCTGTTGTTTGCACACACAGACTGAGTCTCTTCCCACCATTTATTCTCACATGAATTGTATATAAACGCCATGTAATGAACTCTTGGTAAAACCTTACAGTCCAGATCAGTGGACTTGATGGTCTTTTCTTTTAAAAAGATCTGAACTGATGATGCTGGGAAAGCTGTCCAGGATACCCAGACTTTTCACAAAACTGCTGCTATTACTAATCTCCTTGGAATGTCGAAGAAGGGCACGAACAAGGAAGTGGTCTGAATACAACTGATCCAGAAAATGGAAACCTGTGGAAGTCTATCAGAATTTACTTGTGACAGGGAATACTAATACTCTGACTTAAAGGTAGTACTCCTAAAGTCAGCACTGGTGCTCAACTGAGATATTCTTTTGTACTACTTGTACAGTTGGCGTGTAAATAACGAAGACTTCTGTGCAAACTATTTGATTTACTGTGGGTAAAGATGATCAGGAAATCTGGCTTTTTTTTAAGCCACCTCATACATGCACGTACCTTCCGAGTACAGTGGCTGCAGTAATCGCTGTCAGGTGCTGTCCAGCTGATACACTTGTGGCATCTCAAGACTCCTTAGTGACATGCACTTCAGGTAAGTGTGGAACAATATTGAGCCTCGTTACCAAGTTCTGAACTGGAAGGGTTTGTGCCGCTGGAATTTTTAATGGGTATAAGAAAATGGGTTCTCTCACACTGCCATAGTTAAAGGTTCTTTAAAACAAAACACAGAAAAAACACCCTGAAACCATGATTTTGATACTACTATAAATCTTTGTGGTCAGGATCAGTCTCTTAGGATCAGATTGTCAGCCCATTGCATTGTTTTCTCTTCTAGGGCAAAACACACTGCCCTAATCTACTACCAAGAATTTTTCCTTTACTAAAATTTCTACCCAGTTTGTAGTTGCATGTAAAATAAAATCTATTTTTAACATACTATTGGTGATAAACATTACCAGGGTGCTTGTAATATTTGTTCCCTAATGTTTTGGGGACAGGTATCCTAAATCCAAGGGGTTGATATTTATGCCTGAATTACTCTATTCTTAAATTTTAATAAGGAGGAAAAATTTGTTCTAATAACCTGTTAATTCTCTTCATCCAAAAGTACTGTCATAATGGTTTCATACTCTAATAATGTTAACAATAATTGTAATAATAATAAAAAAAATCTGCCACTCCTGAAACAGAAGAAGGTACCTAGTTTCTGTCAGTCTGAATCTGTCTCCACAAACTCCTTTGTAGTAGGATCATACACAAGAACTGAGGCAAGAAACTCTGCCTCCACCTTTGCAAGAGGCACAGACATATACAATATCAGTCTTTTGATCTCTGTTCCCACTGTAATTGGGTTTATGTGTATATGAAGTACTCAAAATTCAGATTCTGTTGAATATTGGATATTTTAAGTTTCTAATTCCTTTTATTTTAAATTAGTATCCCTGTGGTTCACTACCCTGACGTGATCCACTCTAAAGAGGGTTCAGCCAAGACAGCATTTATAAAATGTTTTTGGCAAATACATACATGTATATCAGAGCAGGTTCAAGTTTCTTGCAGTATTCACACATACTGTTTAGAGAATAAACTTTTCTCTGTCTGGGAATAATCAACTTAATTGTTTCATGACAGTCATATCTACAGTCTGTTCTCTTTGGGGCTCTATTCAGATATTTTTTTCTACGCATAAGCTCAGAAGATTTTTAAATTGTACACATACACTTAAAACATAACACTTTCTTTACCTGTGTAATACAAAGGTTGAAAATATGTAAATTTTTGTGTTAATTTCGTTTTGTACCTAAATGTATAGTTTTCTGAAATGGATAAAAACTTTCAGTGCCAGTTCACCTCATTTTGTGTGGTCATCTTTAATTTCGTGGGTGTGTGTTTTAATGCCCTTCTTGTAGTTGTGGTAGATACTGTTAGACTCTTCTAACCATGGACTTAAAGGAATTAGTTTTCAGCTCCCTTAAGAAACAAATCTTCATGTAAGCAACTCTCAGAAATTTGACCTTCTGGTTATCAGGCGGTGCAAGGTAATCCCCTCATCCCTCCAGAAACAGGTAGGAGGGTTCCAAACAAATCTGCAGTCACTTACACACTTTCCTCCAAGCCCTCTTGCTCCCCTGTACTACTCTGTTTAATGCCAAATCAAACCAAGTTAAATTTCTGGTGTCTGTAGGGAGGAAAGGCACAGCTAGAACACGTGGCTCAGTGTGTCTCCTGTACCTCTCACTAAGCTGCCTCTCTTCATTCTTTCACCACAAAGCAGCCTTTGTGTCTGCAGCCTCCTGCACGCTCCGTAGCTTTGAAGTAGTTTGTTGGGAAATGTAAAAGCATTTGGTGTGCAAAAAAAAAAAAAAAAGTTTATAAATTTGGTGATATCCAAGTTAAAACTAATTGATACTAGTTTGGAAAAAGGTTTGCTTCCTCTGTCTGAACCTCCAGGAAAAAGTGTTACAGGTGCTGTTTGAGGAGGAGCGGGGGGGTTGCTGTTCTAGGGGAAAGAAAATTAGAGTGCTTTTGAAAATTAAGCAAGGGACAATCAATCAACAGGCAGCATGTCATAAAAAGCGAACCAATATCCAGACGCTTTTTCTATGGCAGTAAAGGTGCTTTGTGTCAGCAGTCAAGTAATCCCTCGTTCAGAACTTCAGTTTTTACAAGAATGGGAATAAGCAACGAGAGTATTTGTAGCCTCAGGTGCTTCATCCTTTGGAACGTGCAAAAGGGCACTGAAGATTTCGGAAGCTTTGACCGTGATTATTTAGAATCTGGGGACATCTGCTGGTCAGCCTGTTCCACGCAGGGATCCACACGACCTGATTGCAGCCGCTGAGCATGTGCACGGAAGTCATTAGAGAGAAATCAATCTTAAGAGACTTCAGATAGAAGCCAGAGATTAAAGCTGACTTCAGGGGGAAACTCAATGGGCCAGGTCTTTGAAACTTAAGACTCTTTTGGCTCGTCTCTCTCATGTAAGTAGCAATGTTGTTTAGCAAAATTACTCATTTGAATGTCTTTTAACCTAGATGACAACCAAATTAGTTCATATTTCTATGTTTAAATTATTCTTAAAATAGACTTTGAGGTTGAATTTACCTAATGGACACCTGAGCACCACCTAAATTTATCCACATCGTGAAGCATTAAAGAGTTGTCCTGAACATGAAATACTTTACCAAGCAGCAAGCAAATTGCATGATGTTGCAATAGTTTCTATCTCATGAAAAAGTCAACTCCTTCATGTCAAGGAGGGTTTGTTTTTTTCCTAGCAGTGGGAGTGTTTGAGATGCCCGTGATTACAGACCCATAAATAGGAGAGCTTATAGTTCTTTTACTATAAATACCTGAAGTACCAAAATACCAAATACTACTCCACCTTCTAGAGCAGAGAGCATTTGAGCTCACTTTAATACTGGATGGGCTGAAGTGATCAAGCTCAGTAGGCTTCAGGTATGCAGCAAGCCTTGGAGCACAGCCAGCTCCAAATCTATTCCTTCAGGGCTTCCATTCCTGTATCTTAATTACAGGATGGTCATTACTCTCCCACACTTGTACCTCCTTCCTTGCACTATCTAGTTCCCAGGAAGTGGGTAATCCAACCTCCTGGTGTGGCCCTAATGGGCATGGAATCTTGGAGATAGCAAAGAATTGTTTTTAATGTCATTGCATTCACACACATTCACTGGAGTTGGTTTGCACAGAAATGACAGTAATATCAACCATTTAGAGGATTAGATCTCTGGATGTATAAAATCCATATATATGTGGAATATATATCTATGAAATGAGGGAAAAGCACCTAACCCTTCTTTGAGTTACCACCTCCTCTGCCTTTTAACAAGCACGTTGTGCAAATGCCCTCCGTGTGCCATCTGGGCACAGTCGGTTCTCGGGCTGGGGGGCTGATGTGCCCTGGAATTCTGATCTGGAAAGCCATTTACATGGCTGGAGCTTTGCGCCCGTATGGAAAGCCAGTGATGTGAAAGGGCCACCTCAGCAGCACAGAAAACAGGTGAGTCTGTTCTGTGGAAACTTAGTAAAGGGTTTTATTACAGGGCAAATAGGGAAAGATGTGCCAGGTGTGGCCTTGTGAGCTGTTTGTTTTAGGCTCCGTTGATTATGTTATGCTTTAATTTATACTGTGCTAACGTTCATGGTTGGGGTTTTTTTCCAAGGAAATGACAGCCACACCCTGACCATGGGAGTGCTGCTGGAAATGTGCCATTTTAAAATTAAATATGACTTAGGGGAATTAAAAACTTGATTTTCTAATATTACAAAGGTTCTCTCAAGATTAATTAATTTTCTCCTATATATAATAATAACTAAAGTATTAACTACCTTAAAATATTTTTCTTATGCTTTTCAGCCCTCCTCGTTTCTCTGAACTTGCCCTGGTACCTTTTTCCTTTCTTTGTTTTACTCTCTTGGGTCTGCTTGTAGTTGTAAAGTTAGTTCAAAAGTTCTAACTTCTTTTAGTGACATTTTTCCTTCTCCTGCTACTAAGGATGAAGATGTTCATCAGAGAGCAGCTAAAAACAATTTCAGCAGCTCTGGTCACACTGGAATTCATAGAGAAGCAACTTGCAGAGAACATACAACTAGAAGGCAGATGATCCTTAGGAAGGCATAGATGTTGCAATTGAAAGAATTGGATTTATTCGGAAAAGCATTTTGGAAAAACAAACCCAAACCTCCACAAAGAATGCTGGTTGCTGGAGTTCCTTTGGCTGAAGCAATCATTGAACCTTTGGTTATGTTTCACTGGAACTGTCACAAACCAGCTTGAACCATGTAGCTCGACTGACATTTCATCTCAGTCATATATAAAAATTTCTCTCTGCTTCCTGAACATAGAGTCAATATCTTTGAAACTTAAAGCCAAAGTGGCCTCTCAGTTTAACAGATTGGATAAAATCTGGCAACATTTAGTATGGGCCTGTTCCAGCTGCTCTGTCCTTCTCCCACCTGCTGCTTCAGTTATCTTTAATTTTTTCAGCTCAAACCAACCTCCAGTGTGTTTTTGTTTCCTTGTGGAGGGAGGTGAAAGTAGACCAGAATACATTTTTTTCTTCCATGTAGTTGTCCTATTGAATGTTTCTCGTACGTACTTTAGAGTTTGTTTCTATATGTGATTTTCAGTCCACTGGGAAAGCTCTCCATCCTTGCAGAAATCAGTAAAATTCAAAAAAGCAGTTTCCTGTGAAGAGCATGAATTCATACACTTTAGACACAGCCTTACCTACACTGACCAACTTCAGTAATACTGCACATAAACCACGAGGTATTATTACTGCCGTTAATCACAGTTCAAAGATAACCCATTACATCATTTTAAAAAAAAGGCATTTAAGTTGAATAATTTCAAAGACAAATCCCTCACAAGTCTTTCAGTAGTAATGCTGCCTGTGCATAAGCTGCCTTGTCCCACCCCCAGCAGAGTCCTGTGTGCCAGTGAGAGACAGGGCACCTGGGGCTGCTCTTGGGGGATTTTGTACAGATAATTTGTATTTGTCCATGCACACCCTCCCAGTGCTCCAGCTCTGGTGTGACTGGCTTGGAACTGGCTTTTACTTTACTGGCACAAGGGAGTTCCAATGCAAAGACTCTCCATGGGAAAAGCAGCAGAGAGTTCACATACTGGCATTGTTTTATTTAGAGGAACCAGAACTTTGCCTGGGAAATGGAGTAAAAGGTCTGTGTGAGATGACAATGAATGATGACAGTAGGGAAGCAAGTCCTGCCCAGTCAGGACAGAACAGTTCTGGCAGGCCAAGGAAGATCTACCTTGATGATACCATTCACGGGTTAGAGGTAAGAAAACTGACCTGGAACTGCTTATGTGGAGTGAGTGCAGCCCACACACAGGAAAAGATAAATGTCCTAGGGCCAGATGCGTGACATCAATCCAGTGCTGTGCTTCTCTCAGGCAGCTGTAGGCATTGGAGCACCAAGAAGTGCTAATGCCAGGAAAACAGGCCAGCTGCATAAAAACAACTGTACAGTAATTTGTAAATGAATACGTTCACACTGACACTTTGAGACTGTTTGATGTAAGTTGAGTCCAGCGCTGCTGCTGCTGCTCAAGCCTGCTAAGGAGAACAACTGACTGTGGATGAGTCAGCAAGAGGAACATCTGTACTGCCTGAGCAGCACCACGTTCTGACACCTCTCGTGGGAACATTTGGCTGTCCTCAGCATCCACCACAGCATTTTTCTGTCTTTTGAAGGCCAGTAACCATTCTCCAGTAGAGGTGCAGATGTGCACATGGCAAGTGGAAGCCTACTGGCTACAGACTTGCCTTGGTCATTATCCCAGAGCCCTCAGCAGCAGCACAAAGATCTTGAGTCAAAAATACTTCAGCCTGAAAACTACTGCGTGGTTCACGCTGTACCTTTTGTTGTAGCTGTAATGCTGCAAACCCAGCTGGCAAGAGTTAACAAAGACAAGTTCTTCGTGTCTTAAATAATGCAGCAGTGCTTTTTCAGATTGTCTTGCCTTATTTCTGCAGCACAGTGTAGTGCTTTAGTGCAGTCCCTTGTGTTTCTGCCCATGTAACCCAACCTTTGCAGCAGCACTGCCCTCCCTGCAGCTGGGCAGGGGCAGGGCAGGAACCGGGTCAGGCCGAAAAGTGAACAGGGAAGATAAACACCATCACGCAGCAGCTGTCACAGTCTCGGCCTGCAGAGCGAGGTGGTTGATTCAGCAGGCAGCTGGCCTTGCCCCCTCCCTCACCCCACAGATTTTCCCTCAGATTCGCCAGGTAAAACAGTATTTTCTCTGGCCTCACAGTTACGGGAGGTGACACGAGGGGCAGGGGAAGGCTGGGAGGGGGCAGTGGGGACCTGTGCCCTTGGGCAGGTCATGGAGTAGGACACGAGAAGGGTAAAGGAACAGAACTGTCCTGCAGCAGGAGAGTGAACAGGAGCTGATAAAAGGCATCCTTTGATCAGCCCGAGCTGCCTTTGCCACTGCACCCAGCGGTTACACAAACACTGAGAGAGCACTGCCAGGGAAAGAAATGACCCAGCCCTCCCCCAGCCCCTGGGCACTGCTGCTGTCCTCAACATCCCATCCTTCCTGGCACTGCTGGTCTTGGAGCCGTGCACTGAG